ATAAATGTTATTACCTCATCATATGTGTATCGGTAGTCGGCTTTCTTTGATTTGAGGTCCCACAACACTACTGTTCCAGATTCAAAGCCAATCAAAAGCTGTAATAAAAAAAAAAAGCCACATTACCTAGGAATGATATTAATCACATGAAACATTTATTTGCTGAAAATAAAGATAACTATTATCATTAATATGGTCCAAGTACAAAATTATAGTACAATTAAATATCTGTATTGCTAATTACTAATCACATGGATGACAAATGAAAATACCGCATTGCATATTTATATGCTGCTGATGATTGGGACTTAACATATAACTGTTTTTTGAAAAAGAAAACAGTACCATTTTGAAGTCCTGAGTATATATTTTATTAATACAACACAATAAATTACCAATGCAAATTCATATTGGTATGTGCTTTAAAGTTGACAAATTTGCCTAATTCAACACATTACCAGGTAATTTCGTTTATTCATCTACATATTGATTAGTCCCAAATTATATTCAGCCTAGATCCCTCATGAGATTTCAGACCCATAATTTCAGTGGCCATATCTCCAATTATCTGCTCCACGAGGACCTCAAAGTAAATGTGTCCAAAAGTGAATTCATTATTTCCTTCCCTACCCTTCTTCTCTGGTACGCATATTCTCTGTTGCAATGTCTCTCTCGCCATTCCTTATCTCAACATTTATTAAATTGCTCAGGCAAAAACATGGGGGTCATCTTAACTCTAGCTTCTCCCCCATTGGGTAAAATCATTAACTAATTTTAAACTTACATTCTATTATCTCTGTAATTTACTTTCCTCCACCTCCAATACCTTGCTCTTGGTTCAAGACACAAAACTCTCTTGGGTGAACTCTTTACAAGGTATATATACACGTCTAATCACTATGTTATACACCTGAAACTAAACTAATGTAATATTATGTCAACTATAATTGAAAAAAAAGACACAAAGGTCTCTTTTCTAGTCTGCTAGTCTCCCTGATTCCAAGCCTTGCTCCTTTTTTTTTTTAACACATTCCATATTGTGGCTAGAATAATAGTTCCATAATGCAAACCTGATCATGTAATGCATGCTCTTATTTAAAACTTTTTAATACCTTACCATTATTTTTAGGATAAAGTCCAAACTCAATAAAATGACTTACAAGGATCATCATGGTCTGACTTCTGCTTATCTCTCCAGCTGCATCCCTTACCACACGCGTCGTATCCAATATAGTCCAGTATGTATTTCAATTCATGCTTTCTCTTACCTTTGAGTCTTTGCACATGCTGTCTGACTACCTGGGCCATTCATTTGAATGTCATCCTCTGCCTGACTAATCCTACTACTAATCCTTCGAATGTTCTTTTACCCATCACTTCCTCTGTGGAGCCTTTCTTGACCTACCAAATGTAAGTCAATGCCCTCCCTACGTGCTCCAACAGCACTCCTTATTTTTTTTAATCTGAAGGGTTACTACACAATACATAATGGCCTTTGCCTTATCTGAATTCTCTTGCAGACTATAACACTGGTCTA